TCTGCCTGCAATGTGGGAGACCTGGATTCGATCCCTGGTTTGGGAAGGGAAAGACTACCCACTCCAGTATTCTGGCCTAGAGCATTCCAGGGGTTGCAAAGAGTGACCATGACTCAGTGACTTTCACTGTTATGTGCAAAAGCTATTAATTTTCCTTTAAAAACAGAGAATGTGGATTAACTGAGCTTTTCTAAATCTAATGGTCTAAGAAAACTTTTTTTCCCAAAATTAAAATGGCAATGTGTGTTGAAAAGTGGGTGAAACATATATTTTTTTGAATTTAGAACTAAAAAATAACATTACTGGAAGGAATAACATGCACCAGCCCTATGAGACTTCTGTCTACACACCTAGCCCAGATTACTTGCCTTAAGAGTAAAATTAGGATTGTGTGTATAGCTTTTCCCTTCTCCAGGGGATCCTCCAAACCCAGGGATTGACCCCACGTCTCCTGCATTGCAGGCAGATTCTTTACCAGCTGAGCCACAAGAGAAGCCCTGACATTGGATGGTTCTGACTAAATTCACTCTTTCACTCAGCAACCATGCTCATATTTATCCATCCCAAAAGGTGGAAGCTTTGGGTATTCCAAACCAGTGATTTTTTCTGAAAACTATTCATGTTTAAATTTGGGGGAAATTACATTAAAGATACTTTTTAAATTAAATATTGCAGACTGCCTAGACAGAAAATGAGCCTCTGAGATGGAGTTTTATCACATTCAGTTCAGTTGCTCAGTCGTGTCTGACTCTTTGTGACCCCATGGATGGCAGCACACCAGGCCTCCCTGTCCATCACAAACTCCCTGAATTTACTCAAACTCCCGTCCATCAATTCAGTGATGCCATCCAACCATCTCATCCTCTGTTGTCCCCTGCTCCTCCCATCTTCAATCTTTCCCATCATAGGGTTTTTTCCCAATGAGTCAGTTCTTCGCATCAGGTGGCCAAAGTACTGAAGTTTCAACTTCAGCATGAGTCTTTCCCTGAGTATTCAGGACCGATTTCCTTTAGGATGGACTGGTTGGATCTCCTTGCAGTCCAAGGGACTCTCAAGAGTTTTCTCCAACACCACAGTTCAAAAGCATTGATTCTTCAGCTCTCAGCTTCCTTTATAAAAGTCCAACTCTCACATCCATACATACCTACTGGAAAAACCATAGCTTTGACTAGATAGACCTTTGTTGGCAAAGTAATGTCTCTGCTTTTTAATATGCTGTCTAGGTTGGTCATAGCTTTTCTTCCAAGGAGCAAGTGTCTTTTAATTTCATGACTGCCGTCACCATCTGCAGTGATTTTGGAGCTTCAAAAATAAAGTCTCTCACTCTTTCCATGTTTCCCCATCTATTTGCCATAAAGTGATGGGACCAGATGACATGATCTTTGTTTTGTGAATGTTAATCTTTAAGCCAACTTTTTCACTGTCTTCTTTCACTTTCATCAAGAGGCTCTTTAGTTCCTCTTTGCTTTCTACCATAAGGGTGGTATCATCTGCATTTCTGAGGTTATTGATATTTCTCCCGGCAATCTTGATTTCAGCTTGTGCTTCATCCATTCGAGAATTTCACATGATGTACTCTGCTTATAAGTTAAATAAGCAGGGTGCCAATATACAGCCTTGATGTACTCCTTTCCCAATTTGAAACCAGTCTGTTCTTCCATGTCTGGTTCTAACCATTGCTTCTTGACCTGCATACAGATTTCTCAGGAGGCAGGTCAGGTGGTCTGGTATCCCCATCTCTTTTAATTTTCCACAGTTTGTTGTAGATCCACACAGTCAAAGGCTTTGGCATAGTCAGTAAAGCAGAAGTAGATGTTTTTCTGGAACTCTCTTGCTTTATCGAGGTTCGTTGATTTAGACAAGACTGTGGTCCATATGATCAGTTTGATTTTATATCATGTTAGAAGTGTTGTATGTAACAACAAGAGGATTGAGGGTTTTTAAACTCTACATTTTGAAACAATAAAGTTTTTTTTAATCCTGGAGTTTATACTGATTCTAATAAGATATAAAATAGATAAGAGGAAGGGAAAGCTGGGTTTTTTTGGTCTTTTTTGCAGTAGAATGCTTTGTGCCATGTTGTGCTCAATCGCTTCATTTCTGTCCGACTCTTGGATTGTAGCCTGCTGGCCAGTCTGCTCTATCCATGGAGTTCTCCAGGCAACCCACTCCAGGGGTTTGCCATGCCCTCCTCCAGGGGATCTTCTGACCCAAGGATCAAGTTCAGGTCTATTTCATCTCCTGCACTGACAGGCATGTTCTTTACCACTAACACCATCTGGAAAGCCCCCCTCACAAATATACTAATAAGTGATGACTGTTTTAGGCCACTTATGTCTCAAGTGGTTGATGTAGTGACAGACAGCAGATTTCATTCTCCCTGGTGTTCCTGACTGTGCAGGAAGGAGAGCTCGCTGCTACTGTGGGGAATTCTCCCCTCACCTCCTGCTCTGTCCTGATACTGTGGGGAATTCTCCCCTCACCTCCTGCTCTGTCCCCTTCCCAGGACTGCTCTCAGGGACCTGAGTTTCTGAGTCACGGTCCACTTGGCAGGATGACGCTCTCTCCCCAGTAGGTCAGTGAGTAGAAGTGGGGAGACTGTTCCCCTTCCCCAAATCACCATCCTGTCTTGTCAGCCTCCCTGGAACTGCAGCCCTGCGCTGGGCAGAGATGGTCTCACTTAGTTAACTCAAGAGCTACAGTAAACCAAAAGCATATTTCAGTGCAGAAGAGAAATAGTTCAAGGATTTGACAACTTGTCCTTTCCCACAATCTAGAAGGGAAATCTCTTAAATAATTGAACCTTTTGCCAAAAGGTCCCCAGAGAGCAACACCATTCCTCTGGTGCCTGGTTTTTAATTGAGGTCACTCCTTCCACTCTTTTCACATGAATTGCTACCAACCTCTTTTAGGAGACCCACCCTTAGGAAAATCTCATTGCCATGGAGGTCTCATCTCCTGAATCAAGTTCAATTCCCGTGTCCAGTCACCAAATCTTGAGTCTAAATCACTCAGTAGAGTGACAGGGGTGTTTCCTGGGGCTCAGTTCAGTAGGGTATGGCATCTGAAGGAGAAAACGCTCTGATGCTGTTGGCTCCTGGGTCTAGTGTGAGTCTGGGTGTCCAGAACAATGGATTTCCTCCAAGAATCCCACTTCTAAGAGATTGCCAAGTGTCAGGTTCTTTAATTGTTTGACCTGACAGAACAGGAAGGTCTATAAACCTCACCTGGCTTCCATCAGGAAGGGAGGCTCAAGTTTCCAAGAGTAAATATCACTTTTCAAGAGAACAATGCAGACCACACTCATATTAAGAAATAATCCTCTTTGCTAGTCCAGTGCTTCTCCCTTCTCTAGGTTTTTAGGAGAATTGCACACCATTATTGGGCAGAAGAGGGTTTGATTTCTTTCTGTTCTGTTACCTACAATCCTGAGTCAGATCCTAATAGGTGACTTCAGTCAAGTGTCACTCATGTACTGATAGATGGGTAAATATTTGGCTTCAAAAGTAAAGTCTTTAATCAAAGCATGGAGGGGTGAGAAGTCAAGCTCTAGAGGATATGTTCTCCCTACAACCAGCCAGGCTGCTGTATGTGGTTCCTGTCAGCTGGGAGTAGGCATAGTTCTTGGAGAGTCAACTCAGCTATACAGCTGCAATTGCAGATCAGTGCCAGGTGCAGCATCTCTGGACATGGCCCTCTGAGCTGAGGTGTCAGCACAGCCATTTCACACCAGGGACTCTGGTCTGAAGGCCTGGGTTCAAGACCTCTGCACAAGATGTCCTGTGAGCAAGTGAAACTCATCTCAGAAAAAAGAAAAAGAAAAAAAGGTTGGGCTTTTACTTTATGACCCAGATTCTGTGCTTTCTCTCTGGGAACTATTGATGGGTTTTGTGGTGACACATCCTTCCTCTGTCCTCGTCCTGCTCCTCATCATGAGGGCCCTGAGGGTGCAGGTCCAGCTCTTGCAGCTGCTTCCTGCTGAGTGTGGGGTCATCAGGCCCTGGGGAGGAGCAGGACTTCTCCTGCCACCTGTGGACGCGTCTGGTGTCCCTGGTCTAACTGCTCTTTCCCTGAGCAACCGCCATCTGGAGCTTTCTAGATTCTGAGGGTCATGAAGAGGCCCAGAAAAGGCAAAAATCCAGTGGCACTTGGGTGGCCCCCACACCCTGGCACCAGATTGTTCCCCAGATCAGGTGGTTTGGTGTCTGCAGGTGAGTGGCTCTCCCAGTGGTCCATCTGTGCCTCCTTCAATGAGGCTACAGGCATCCTCATGAAAATAGCTCCACATGCTGCCTGGTACCCAGAACCCACCCAGGGCAGCAAACAGGTAATCCAGTGCAACTCGGTCCCCCAGGACCATCACAGCCAGGGAGGCAGCAGACCTGTGTCACAGCTAGAAATCCGGGCTGGTCTTCTTGGCCACTGTCACCTGGGTGGCTGTCACCTTTTTTTTATATTTATGGTGACAGTGTTGTATGTCACTAGGCCAAGGTCAATAGCTCCCCTCTGAGTGCAACAATTCCTGCTGTTAATCATTTACTCTTTGGGGACACAATTTTGTTGGTTTTTGGAAGAGAAGCTTCCGGTCAGAGAGAGGTTCACAGGAGTAGTCAAGGAGGTCCATTGCCCCAGTTGTTTCTCTGGAGGTTGGGGCTCAGGGGCCCCTTCACTCAAGTGTGGTGGTCCCATGGAGTGAACCCCTGAAGCTTCTGGGAAGATGGTAATTGGCATCACCAAGGGGGGTCCATCCCTCTTAGGAGTAACTGATATTTTGGGCTGTAGGTTTTCCAGATTTTCAGATGAACCTGGTCCTCTGGCTGGAAGGGATGGAGGGAATGTTGGTGAATGCAGGCATGTGTGCTGTTGCTTCATTCATGTCCGACTCGCTGCAGCACCATGGACTATAGCCCATCAGACTCCTCTGTCCATGTGATTCTCCAGGCAAGAATACTAGAGTGGGGTGCCATTGCCTACTCCAGGGGATCTTTCCAACCCAGGGATCAAACCCAAGTCTCTTGTCTCCTGCATTGGCAGGCAGGTTCTTTACCACCAGAAGAGTAGGGGTTTCCCATTGTAGACCTGAGAAACATTAGGTAATATGTGAAGCATCTAGAGCTCTGGTCCTCTGGCTCCACATCCAGATTTCTCTGTACAATTCAACAATGGATCTCAATATTTCTTCTAAATGTCCTATTAGTTAATGTTCAGAAAAGAAGGTAGGAAGTTTCAAAAGATCTTGGTTAAAAGCAAAAAAGACAGAGGCTGAAGGGACTGAGTGTATTTGGCAGTTTGGAGACACTAATTATGGCCGTGAGATAGTTATGAGGACTGGAAAGAATAGTCTGGGGCAATCTGACAAGGAAAGTCACTAGACTTCCAACTTCAGCAACCAATTTCTTCATCTTTGAAGTAGAACTAGCAGCTGAGTACATACAGGACTAGAAAATGTAGGGAATTTAAAAAAGAACTGTTAATTGGGTGAGGACTGATTATGTAGGTTGTAGATAACATTATGGAGAAGATAATGGCAACCCACTCCAGTACTCTTGCCTGGAGAATCCCAGGGACAGGGGGAGCCTGGTGGGCTGCCGTCTATAGGGTCATGCAGAGTCAGACATGACTGAAGCCACTTAGCAGCACCAGCAGCAGCAGATTACATTATCTGATAAAGAGCTAACATCAGAAAGTATGTTACTGAAAAATTACAGATTTCAATTCTAATTGTCTTATTTTTTTCAAAAAAAAATTTTATTTTATTTTTTTTTTAAACAATAAAAATCTATTTATTTAAGATCTGCTCATCTGAAAATCACAAACAATATAGCACCCATCAAAATATTTAAAAATATTTTATCTTTCTGAAGAATGGCAGAAGTTGCTTTATTTAATAGTCAATATATTCCCTAAGGCAACAGAACTATTTTGTATGGAACCCAATCACTAAGTACAGAAATAAGAAATAACATCTTTAGTTGTTAATATTACAAGATCCTACATAAGTAGTGTTACAGATACATTGTCCAGTGTAAATTTTACATGTCTACAATCAAAAACATATAGTTTGTTAAATGTAATAGAATTATAACAATTCATAAAAGACTTTACAAATAGGATACATAAATAACAAAATGAAGGGGAGAGAAAAAGTTTGTGTGTGTGTGTGGCAGAGGTGAAGTGGATAAAGTGAAAGGGGGATTTGATGACCACCAATAATGAGTACTGGAGTCTTAGAACTAACCCATTATTTCAGAGAACAAAATAAAACAAACAAAAAATACAAACCAATAAGCAAGCAACTATTGGTTCTAACCATCACTGCTATTATCATAAAACAAATGATAATTTATCAGTTTTACAATCTAGATATTATGCCTATTAAAGCTAGGTTTTCCTGAGACTATTTTTTACAACCAGTAAAACATCTTGTTTTTATATCTATTACTGATATATGGGAGCTTTCACTTATAAATGGCTTAGTGACTAAACAACAATAACAACATTAAAAGAACAAATGGAATCATACTGAGGGAGCAAGAAAGTTTTGGCATCTTCTTTGCCAGGGTAGAGAAATTCTTTCTATTCTTTACACATTTAATAATATTTTTGAAAAAGACAAAATAAAACACAAGCTAAAGGTAGGAAATTCCAATAGCTCATCATTCATTGAAGTGCTCAATAACTTCACAGACTAATAAGGTTAATTATGATATTGAAAATATATCTGAGTCAACACTTATAGGAATCATAATACATGTTATTTTTATATTATATTCTTTACATTAAGAGTCATAGGGCAAGCACTCACTCTGACATGAAAAGTTTGTTTTACTTAATTTTGATGAAGAAATTCTAGTAAGAAAAGAGAGCAAGTGAGGTCACAAAAAAAAATTTTAAACATGCATGAAATATCAAGAAAGTAGTATAATAAATCTCCATCATGCCCATCAATAGAAAATTATCAACATTCTGCTATTCTTATATTTGGTCTTATTTAAAATGTTTGAATACATTAGGCTTTCCTTAAAATAATTCCCCCTCCAGCTTTATTGAGGTATCATTGACAATCAAAAATGTATATATTTAATATGTACAACCTAATGACTTAAGACACATATATACATTGTGAAATACCACAGCCAAGTCAATCAACATAGCCATCACTTCACACTTTAACCATTTTCCTTATTTTCTTTTTTTATGTTGAGAATCTTCAAGATCTAGTCTCTTAAAAAATAAAACATACACAGAATATTGCCAACTGTAGCCACACTGCTGTATACTAATTCTGCAGAACTTACTCATCTTGCATAACTGAAGCTAAAAGCCATTATTAACAACACTGTGTTAGCCAAGATACATGGGAAATTATCAAATAACAAAATGATATTGTTATAAGCACCACAAACTTTAATCTTTATTTATGGTAGAAGGAGAAACTGCTGAGCTGGTAAGATGGTCACACAAGTGACTACAGACATGAGTGGGAGTCCAAGATTTTGTTTGTTCAGTTCTACAGTGATTCCAAAAGTGTATTCTAGGCACTTTTCATGCATACTGTCCATCTACCAGTACTGGACTTGAACTTGAGTTCAAATCAGGATTTGTCATTTACTAACTTGAAGAACTTAAGACAAGTTACTGTCCTTAAGCCACATCTTTCTCACCTGCAAAAATAGGAATTCTAGTATCTTCTTGAATAGGGCATTGTTACAAAAATAGTGAGCTAAGTTTTCCAGAAACACCCATAACCTGTGTTGTGTAACATATGTCACTGTCATTCCACTAGGCCCTGAAGCACATGATGAAAAAATCATAAGGCAGTCACTCTCCCCACCCCCTCATTCATGTTCCCCTTTCCCAATCTAAGAGGGCAGCAAAAAGCCCACAGAGGTCCCTACATAATGCAACATGTGAGATGTCAACAGCCTGTCCCCAGGAGCAGCATTCATTCATCTTCCAAAATCATCCAGGTTCCTCTAATTCTGTTACTTTTCTTTAGCTCTTGCAGCTCTACACACATTATCTGTGCTAAAACCTGCAGCCATGTGAGGTCAAATGCTTGCCTACAACCTGTGGTTACATTCTACCCAAATTTCTGTGTCAAAGCTACAGTCAGGCCAAACAAATGGAAATGTTGGCATTTGGAGCAGAGAAAGGTTTATTGCAGGGGCCACGCAGGAGTACAGGCAGCTCATCCTTATAAGACCCAAACTCCCTGATGAATTTCAGGAGAGTTTTTAAAGGCAAGGTGAGGAAGAAAGTCCAGGGAATGGAATCAACTCCTACACCATTCTCTGATTGGTTGAGGGTGAGGTAACAGGGTAAGATCACAGGGTTTAATATCATCAGTCCTTAGGTTCCAGCTTGTCTGGGTGCTGCCTGCTTAAGGCCATGATTCAGTTGACCTTCTTCCATCCGGTGGGGGTTTTAATACCTGCAGAGCAACTCAGAAATGTCCATCAGAGACTGTCATCTATGTCCTTCAGAGAGAAGCTAAAGATTTTGTGACTGCTATATGGCCTATTTATTGTTTAACTTTTTGGTTACTACATGTTCACATTCTTCCAATCACTATTTCCTGAGCCAGCCTTTTGTGGCTCAAAGGAGGCCGGGGAGACTAAAACTTTTCTACAAACAAGGGACAGGCAGAGGGCATGGGGTGGGGGTAGGGTCTATCCCAGGAAGGCCCCCCAGAGTCCTGCTCTATTCCAGTTGGAGAACCTCCCACAGCGCCCTTGTTTGGTCCTGATGAGGGCAGCGTGTCCCGAGGGCAGGCTGCTATCTCCTACCAACTTTCACCAGGTCTTCACCACAGCTGAGGGGAGTTTCTGAGCAGATGGGACTGATAGAACCGACCCCTCCCTTCTCCATTCTCTGGTTGGGTGCCTGCGCTCAGAGCACGCCCTTTGGTAGAGTTTGCAGGCATGGCTCGGTTGTGGACGCCTGGGGGTCCTGAGCCTTGTGCGCAGTTCCCCTGCCCGCCTCCATCAGCTGTGCCTGCGGCCTCGCCTCTCACCTGCGTGTGGCTCCTGGCAGCCTCCTCCTGGCCTCCCCTTCGTCCTGCTGCCCCCACTGCTCCGAGTCCAGGCGGTTGAGGCGCAGAGCGCGCGGCCACGAGAGGTCAGGGCCAGGAGTCCCACCAGCGCCCCCCACTCCCAGAGCCGGTGGTTCTGTCTCCCTAAGAGGACCGCGCTGTGTCTGAGCCTCCAGCCTCTCCGCCGGCACCTCCAGTAGCAGCTTCGCCGCCAGAGCAGCGTGACCCCGGCCGGCGGACGCCCCCGCAGGCAAGATGCAGAAGCCCAACCCGCTGCAGGACACGAACTTCTGCTCCCGCCTGTTCTGGTGAGAGCACGCCTGGGGTGCTACAACTCGCCGTCTCCGGGCTACTGCCTGACGCTGTTAACCCCTTTCAGGGACTTGGTATAGCGTCAGAGAGAGGGAGCTCTTTCCGATGGCTGCTTGGGGCCGGTGGGGCCGCTCCACTCGGTCAGAGGGTTTACTGTCTAGCGTCAGGCTGCGGAAAGGGGACCCCGGAGAGTTATCTGGTCGGGGCGCAGGGGTCTCCCTGTGTAGCGGAAGCGGAAATATTTACAATAAAGAAAGAGGCTCTCTGCCCCGCCAGTCTTGTATGGCCTGGGAGTAGCGGGGAGCAGGAGGCAGGGAGGCTGAGAACCCAGGCTGCCCAGGGGAATCATCGCCCAGCGGGGGAAGGACTGGACTCTCCACGCTCCATCCTTAGCCAACTTCCCCAGCACTGCGTAGGAATTCTGTCTTAACTAAAGCAGCACTTTTTTTCCCCTCCCCTAAGCAAACAGCTACCTTTGTCTAATTAGTGCTCTGCACCATTGCCATCTTCCAATAATGCCATCACTTTCCCCATATTCCTTAAGTGACATCTGAGTCCCAACTGCACCAGGCTTCCTCTTCCCCTGAGTCTATGACCACGTCTCCCTCCCTCCCTTTCTCCCTCCATGATTGTGTCTCACTGTATGTCCTGATACCTAGTTGTGACACATTTCATGTGTGTAACAAATGCTATTATTTTTTTATTTGTGAATGGGGACACTATTCTTGAATGCACTTTGCTTTGACCAGGGACACACAGCCCGTGACTGGAGCCCCTTTCTTTATCATAGGGGCTTCACTGATAGCTCAGTTGGTAAAGAATATGACTGCAATGCAGCAGACCCCAGTTCGATTCCTGGGTTGGGAAGATCCCCTGGAAAGGGAAAAGGCTTCCCACTCCAGTATTCTGACCTGTAGAATTCCAAGGACTGTATAGTCCATGGGGTTGCAAAGAGTCAGACATGACTGAGCGGATTTCACTCTTTTCTTTATTGTGTATTTCTGCTTCCACCTTTTAGGACCACTCTGGGCATGGGGTCTCTGAAACCTTTGGGGTCTTATCCAGATCTTTAGCTCAGAGAAGCAGTGCATGGTCTTGATGCAGGTGATCCTGCCCAGGTGTCCTATGGTCCTGAAACCACTGAAGAGTCCCTGAGCTGGGAGGAAAAATGTAGATAAAAAATGACCCAGAGAGGTGAAGTTCTTAACTAAAGTTTCCATCCAGTAGCTGGGACTACTAACTAGGTGGGACTGACCTTTGGGCTTGAATCACAGTTGGGTGATAGATTTTTTTGTTTTAATGGACATTCATCTTTGCCACAAATTCTGATATTTCTTTTTTTTTTTTTAATGGAAGAGCCTCAGGGATTCTCAGGAGTTGGGAGCTCCTATGCTTATTTTCATGGTGTGCATTCAGTATGTATAGCTGTATCTCTTGGCTATTTGGTGGCCCTTAAGGAAATAGGGGATTATGGATGTGGTTACCGTAAATCACAGCAAAGTAGGTAAACATCTCTTAACTTCAGGCAGGGCAATCAACTCTCCAGACATGTTCTACTTGCGGATTTTGAAAATGTTATGTGCATGGAAATGGAAGGTGAAGACTTCTCATTGATTTGGTAGGCATCCATTTCCAGTTTTCCTGCTTGAGCTATTATTTCTTAATTTACATATGAAGTCACTGAAGCAGAGAGGTTGAGCAAGTTGCCTATGGTCACACAGCTAGTAAGTGAAAAAAATTGGTTCCCAAACCAGGGAGTCTGGTTGCCAGGCCTGTGTTGCCCAGTATGTAACTGCAGTACTGAGCTGCTTCTACTTGTTCTTAAATTCAGGGAGAAGGTGATTCCAAACACATCTTTGGTCTTGTAGACAGGAGTTTCTCAGAGGAAGTTCTTAACTTTCTTGCTGTTGGAGATGATGCACAGGTGAAACAGCTCTGTAATCAAGCATTAGGATGGCTGTTCTCAGAGTATGGCTCTCAGACCTGCAGCATCCTCATCACCTGGGAGGTGGTTAGAAATACAAATCCCCCTACACACCTTCTAGATCAATTCTGTAAAGTTAGAAACTCTGGGGATGGGTTATAAACAAACTCCAGGTGATTCCGATGGAAGGTGGAGGCTGGCTTCTGCTTTAAGTCATTCCTCCCATTGATATTGGTAATTCAGTGTTAACTTTTAAAAAGGGGTCCAGACTTTGTGAAGTTGGTTGTTGACCATGATTGCCATCTTGTATGTAAAGTCTGAGGTACCTTCATGATTTCCTTTAGCCCCCGCACCCTTGCTTCCCTGGGAAATGTGAAATGAGTCCATCCAGGAAGTGCTGCCCAGACACAAGGCCTTATAGAGAAAAACTGAGGTTTCATCTTCTCATTGGGTATTTGCTTTCCTTCTCACATTTCATCTGCTTTCTCAACTTGTAAATGATGCCACTTACTGACTTTATATAAATGACTTTATACAAATGACCTCACTGAGGTTTTAGTGTTTTCACAGCACAGGTTGGACATAGGGTTTAAGAGAAGTTGTACATTATGGTTATTGGTAATTGTTGTGAATTTTAAGAAAGAATATTTATTTTTATTTATGTAAAAAATTTAAAGCTATAGAAGAAGAAAGGAATAAGAATTTATTTCTATTAGTCAAATATACTTGCTGATATTTTGGTTGTATTTTCTTTTCCCTAGAAATCTTTCTGCACACCTGAGCATGCATGCTTTTCTATAAAACTAAATAAATTTGAATCTTGAGTCCTTCTTAATTTTCTATGATTAATGTTTATTTATGGAATTAGATAATGTTCAAAATATGGTATTTAATGCAATTTATGCAGTCTTTCACTTTTAACAGTTTATTGCTAATTATGATATGATGGCCATATCCATAGGGATATATATTTACATAACCCTAATATTTAGGTCCATCTTTCCTTTTTCTATATTTCCAGAAGCAGGATAAACTGGTGAAAAGCCAAACTGGCTTTGATCAGGTTCCGATCAGTTTGCCCTCTTAAAACTCTTGTATGCTTATTTCATTGCCATCTTTGAGTGAATTACATTTTTCCTAGGTCTAAATTTAAAAATAATTCAAGCAGTTTTAATTTGAATTTATTTGATTTGTGGAGATGGACCTTTTTTATGTCTATTGACCATTTGTCTTCCTTTGAATTGTTTATTAATATATGTTTTTCCTATAAGGCAATTATTTTTTAAATAACTTCCAATACTGCATATAATACTTTTTCAACTTTTCATTTGTCCTTTAGTTTAGTGGTTTTACCTTGTGGCTCAGCTGGTAAAGAATGCACCTGCAATATGGGAGACCTGCGTTTGATCCCTGGGTTAGGAAGATCCTCTGGAGAAGGGAAAGGCTACCCATTCCAGTATTCTGGCCTGGAGAATTCCATGGACTGAATAGTCCATGGGGTCACCAAATACATTTACTCTTTGTTCTTTAACTTCAAGTATAGCTTGAGTTTGGTTCTTGTTCTATAATATTTCCCCAGAGCAAATATTCACTGGTTCCTGCCACCCAATGTAGTTTCAGATTAAAATTGGTGGTTAAAATTTTGTTTTTTTTTAAGATTTTGTGGTCATGATTTTATGGAGATAGATTAATCCAAACATCACCTATTTCCATGGTATGTGGGAAATAAGATGTTATATCATGTATTGTTTTTCGTCAGTTTTCATTCACTGCAAAACATTTATAACATTGAAGAAAATGCACTTGACTGGGCCAGTACTTAAGGGATTAATCTTGGGAAAGAACCAAAGCCAAAATACACTGTAGGTTTACTAATGTATAAAGTATAGTTTGTCACTGTTTGAATTTTTTTTTTTTTTTTTAAACCTTTGAAAGTGAAGTGAAAGTGTTAGTTGCTCAGTTGTGTCTTACTCTTTGTGACCCCATGGACTGTAGCCTGCCAGGCTCCTCTCTCCATTGGATTCTCCAGGCAAGAATACTGGCATAGATTGCCATTCCCTTCTCCAAGGGATCTTCCCGACCCAGAAATCGAACCCAGATCTCATGCCGTAGGCAGATTAAACCTTTACATCTTCCAAAATCATAAAGTAGTGATTGTCAGGGAATGTTTAACAGTAGGATTCCTGTGTGCTGTTTTCTGTCTCTCATGAGCCCTCTGTTCCTTTTCAGTTCCTGTCAGGAATAAGCTGAGCAGCATGCTGCTCCCAGGACTGAGATCAAAGAGATGCAATGCATGCATAGGATTTCCTTCATTAGCTTTTCCATATGTTGAAATGGATTATTTACGACCCTCTTTTGATATGGATTGCCTTTTGGCTTTATGGCCTCTATTACTCCTTGTTCCCTTGGTAACTTGTAAAGTCTGGTCTTTTGATCTTTATCTGAAGAAGCTACCTTGTAATACGGTATATATATTCTCACAGAATTCAGTAAAGCACCCTTGTTCCACTAGAGACTTGGGTCTCCATGTCCTTCCTTCTCTCTCTCTCACTCTGTCTCTCTTTCTGGCTGATTCTCTGGAGCGTGGAAGTCTGCTGAGCTCATTTTCCTGCCCAGGCTTTCAAGACCTCTCAAGACTTCTTGAGAGGACGCCCTGTGCCTATGTGAGCAGTACAAGCTCTGTCCTAGGGCTTTCTTGGTTTTCTGCATAACCCAGGGAATATTAGCCTCTTTCCTTCTTTGACTTTCTTATCATCAACTCCGGACCACCAGGGTCCAGTCCATTAAAGGACCACAACAAGTGATGTTTATATCTTCAGAAAACTATACCTCCTTCAGTAACTAAAAATATTTTTTTCTCTTTATTGTACCAACTCCTATACAGAATGTACTATGGGAAACAACTCAACCTTGAAGATCATTTAACTTTTCTGTTTAAACCACATTGAGACAAATAGCTTCATCTGTGAGAGATTTCTTTAACTAATCCCTTGGTGTGTTTATGGTGGATGTTCTGTTTCAGGGATGGAGGACACTGAGATCTTTTTGTCCTGATTGACTGTACCATCTTTCTCAGGGAACACTCATTGGAAAGAGATCTCCCCATCACGTGGCTATACA